GGGGAACAATAGCAACAACAAAAAGCTGGGTGTGGTAGTGCAAACTTGCAGTCCCAGTAGGAAAGTCACAGTCCAGGGCAAAAAATACAAGACCCTACCTGAGAAATTAGTAAAGGAAAAACAAAATGATTAAAGATCCTCAAACCAAGCTGTTGTAATTTTATCCTTAGGCACAGAAGACAACTAACGCGGAGCACAAAAAATAAAAAGGAATCAATATCTAGCAATATAATAGTAGAAAGCACAGTAAACCAAGGACAAAAAATGTTCAAAGCAGCCAGAGAGGGAATAAAGACAGACTAGCTCCAAAAAGTGAGCAATGAACTCTGCAGCAACAGTCAACAGACATTGAAAAAGAATCTTTGACACCCTGGAAGGAAATAACTTCCAATCTATAATCCTACTCTTCAATGAAAATGAAAACAAAACAAAACATTTTTGGTAGTGGCGCTGCATCCTCAGCCCTGAAAATCTTTCAAGCATGAACGGGAAGTACATATAGAAGCAAAGAATTTGTCATCTCTCTGTTTTTTGTCTTTTTTTTAGGTCTGCGACCAGGACAGAAATTTAGTACCTGACACTTTTGTTCATTGGCTAGTGCTCTACCAACTGAGCCATGCCTCCAACCCAAAATTTGCTACTTCACTAAAAAAATGCAACAAGCACAGAAGAAAGCTGTGAGCTGCTACTGGATGGGTAAAACAAATATGGGAAGGAACAAAAAGCAAATCTGTGGGTACATATAAATGAACATTGGACAACACTGTATTGTAAATAAGGTTTAATGGAAACTGCTACTCTGTGCATGCATGGGAGAGGTGTGTGTGTGTGTGTGTGTGTGTGTCTGTGTGTGTGTGTGTCTGTGTGTCTGTGTGTGCTGGGACTTGAACTCGGGGCCTCACTTTTTCACTCAAAGCTGGTGATCTAGAGACAGCAAGAGAAGGAGTGATAGTGTCCAAAAAGAAATGGACTCATTACCTGGCCTATGAAACTGCAACCCCTCTGTATATCATCTTTATAATAACAATTTAAAAGAGCTGGTGATTTACTGCTTGAGTCACACCTCCACTTTCGGCTTTTTGATGGATTGCAAAGCATCCCTGAAACTATGAAAGCACAATTATGAATGGATGTGTATGTGAGGTGTTTCCAGCAATGACTGAGTTAGGGGGGAATAATTGCTCCGCATATGAGTGACACCATCAGCAGGACGCTAGAATAGAATAAAAGGGGGTTCTGATTCCCAGCACCACAAACCATGGAGAAAATTGGTTAAGGTTTATGTCCTGGTGAACAGTAACGTGCCGGTGTATGGTTCCTAGTTGTAAGTGCAATGCGGGTATATGCAATGTCACTTGTGGGCAGACGAAACAGGACTAGTTTTGCATCATTTTATTGTTTTTATTATTTCTTTACATTAGGACTGAGCTGGCATTCTATCGCTTGAAACACAGCTCCAGCTGGTGGTTGTTGTTGCTGTAGTTGGTTATTTTTCAGATAGTCTTGACTTTTTTTTGCTTTGTCTGGCCTCAAACCTTGAATTTTCAGCTCTCAGACTCCGGAATAGCTGGGATTACAGATGTGAGCCACTGGTGCCTGACCACTACTTACTTCTTTCCTTCCTTCTTTCCTTCCTTTCTTTTTTTTTGTCAGTCATGGGGCTTGAACTCTAGGCACTCTACCACTTGAGCCACAGTGCCACTTGGTGTTTTCTAGTGGTTAACTGGAGATAAGAGTCTCATAGACTGCCGGGCGCTGGTGGCTCACGCCTGTAATCCTAGCTACTCAGGAGGCTGAGATCTGAGGATCACGGTTCAAAGCCAGCCCAGGCAGGAAAGACCGTGAG